ATTCAGAACGAAAAGCGTCGTAGATATAATAATAAGTTAAAGAGTGCAGAAAAACTTATACAGTTTTTAAAACGACATCTTTTTATACGTAATTATTGCGAACTTTTCGATAACATTCTTTTAACAATCGAATTCTTGGTTGTACGACGCTCCGTTTCCGGATAAAAAAAGTGCATTCGCCCAACCTCGAATTTTACGGACGGCTGAAAAACAGTTCAATCCTTCCCGACTCCAACCAATCAACTATCACAAATCATTCGGAAAGCGCATATAATCTATACGTATAATATATATACTCCGCGCGATTTTATTAATTACTTTCATTGTCGAACGAATCCTCTATTTATATAACACTCGTAGTAAAGATCTAACAATTTCTATCAGTGGGGAAAAGAGGGGGAAGGGGGAGGGGAAACCGCGGCGCCTTCTTCAAGTTACTCCTCACTTAACACGTACATGGATCGATGTGTGTATGTATGTATGTGTACACTTTTTATTTATTTATTTATTTTTTCTTTCTGAGGGGAATACATTGAGAGACGTTTAGGAGTGAAATGGAATTGTGAATTACGATGTAGCTTACTGGAATCATGTCGTTGGTGCGTTCGAGCAGGGTGGCGTGTCGGTGCGCCAGATCGAGTTATTCGAATGACTGATCGTAGTGATCTAGAAAAGATATGGAACCGCAATTAAATCTTGCTTATCTCCTTGTTTAGCGAGTAATTATTGCGAACAATAAAATTGTGTCTTTTCTTCAATTCTAATTTTATGAATCCATCGGAATTTCCTGTCTACCAAGTTAATTTTATTAATGATGTGATTACATTACATTATTATAATATATTGTGATTATATTATAATTACGTTATAATTACATTATTCGATCAAACATCAATGTATGCTCAATATATTGCACTTTTTGACTTTTTGACTATCTACCGATAGTTTCGGCATTTCTAATGTTAACAACTATTGTAACTCCAATTACTATCAATCATGAGCATTTAATTACAAGCCCAGTTTAAATCATTTAGAGAGAGAGAATTATAATCTGAGCGAGAATTATAATCTAGATTACATAGAGAGAGAATTTAAACAGAAACTTTTTCCAAATTGTTTCTATCATTTTTGAAGATCTTATACAGGATGATTAAAAAGTCAGTACAAAAATTTTAAGAAGTGATAAAAAAGAGCGAAACAAACATTTGTCGTACCCCTTAAAATATTTATACTGATTTTTTAATTATCCTGTATCTAGATTTTGATGAATGTAAAATAAACCCATCAAGACTTGTCAGCGTTTTAACAAAATGCTTCGTGTGCCTATTACCTTATTGTCGTGTCCGATCAATGGCGTTTCCGCCGTAGTTTCGTCGCTAGGACGATTCATGTACGGGTGTGGCGGTGGCACGTAAATCGGTTTAGAATGACTGGCGACTTGCGCGTAAATCGTCGGCTCCTGGATCGGCTGTCTTCGCGTCAAAGTCGACATGGGCAGCAGCTGGGGCCGTTGGATGCCGGAGATTTGCACGGGCTGGTAGCAATTTGGAGGTATTCGCCGGTTTCCTCTCAGCGTTAATTCGGCATACGTTAGCTCGGGCCCCTGCTGTGCGAGAAATTTATATATTTGTTTGATATATCTAAATACAGATTTCTTTGGATCTCGATTAAATGTAGATTTACACATCGAGTTAGATTTATTTTTAGTGAGATCATCTCCTATATGCTTTTTTTTTTAAGCAAGCAAAGACACTTCCTCTTAAGTATAATTATAAATTGATCGTATAATTAGTAATTATCTAGATATTAATTATATAATATTAAATGATGATTAGCTTATAGATATATGATGGCAGAAATTACGAACTGATTTCTTTGCAAACTTACGTTGTTTGTCGTCACGAAGGTATTCGTATCCGGACGTGGTTGTTGTAGTACGTATCGTGGTGACGTTCCTTTGCACAGTTCCGCGTATGAATTTTCTACAATAGGACAAGATACAGAGATTACAACTGATATGAATTAAAATTGCAAATATTTCTTATTCTAAGCCATCTTGTTTTAAGAACTGTTCTTGCGTATTAACATATTAACATATATAAAATTAAAAATTTTTAGGAAACACAGTTTATTAATTATATTTTGATACGTATATATTGCTGAAAAATGAGAAACTTGAGCCTTAAATTTGTTACATTATGAGTACTATCAATCAAATCAATTTGTTCCTTATTAAAATATGCGAATGCATATATAACTAAATTTTGAAAAATTCGTAATTATCGAGTTTCGCAAAAGCAATCTTTAATTGCGATTAATTAATTGAAGAATGTGAACGAATTTATCTCTTTGCGATATTTGAGTTCAATAATTTACTTGTCATTATAGGAATATGAACCTAATTGCAAATATAAAGCTTTTTATATATCTGCTAAATTTAAATAAAAAATCCATTCTAAAAGTTTTATAGTCATCGCGTATTATAAGCTTGTTGGCATTTCCCTCTTGTTAAATAATAAACGAGAGTTAATTTATCGACATCGAGCTGATATTTGAAAGAGAATTCTGGCGATTAATAACGACGATAATGGGAGCGATTCGTCTTATACGGAGAGAGGCGCGTATATACGTTCATCATGCGATTCCCGGGATAAACTCTAGTTCAGATCAAGGGGCATGCTGCGAAGTGGAGAGTGACAGGTATTCTCGCCTACCATTCGCGTGTGGTATTATATCGGGATTCTTCTCAAAGCTCTCGATGCTATCGGCGCTGAGGGGCAAGGTCGACGATTTGTCACGGGGGGACGAGGCACCACCGGTTCCCGACGCCGCCAGATTTGCCATCCCGCCGTCGTCATGAGAGTCCTCCTGAGATCGGGGTCGATAGCGCAGCCTGACAGCCAACACGATCACGAAGATCACCAAGAGCAACCCCGCTGTGGCTCCTACCACGGCGCCCAATAGTGGACCCGACAGCGACAGCACTGGTGTGAGGGCTGCAAATTGTGTTCAATTGTTTCGCGAATACGAAGAAAAAGGGGGAAGGACAATAATGAGTGTGAATTTCTATATATATTGCTTCGAAAAGAAATACAAATGGTTGCAATAACTTTCTTTTAACTTTACAATAATTAAGATATACTCATAACGGTCGTTCGATCAAGAAACGATCAGAAAATGTTATAATAATCGGAGAATATATTAGATCTATAATTATCTTTATCCTCTTGCAATATTCTGCTTAAATATAAATTAAAGGTGGAAGATTTTCTATACTTTTGTGCAAATAATTCGTTGGTTATTTAAATCTAAAAAAAACGATGTTTATCGTTTCAAGCCTTATTCGACATCGAAAACGAGATTTTTTTTTTTTATTTCGCACTGCTAAAAGAACGTGTTAACAAAAGCCTGATGGAAAATGCATGAAACTCGACAAAGGGAATCGCTTCACTACGTCGCGAACGTTCTTTGTGAATGTCGATTCGATTATGGATAAAGCATTTTCGATTTTTGGAACGCGTCTCTCTTATATGATCTCATCGTATCTGTAAAATCCTTAAATAATTTCGAATTTTGTTTATTTTAGTTCAACTACTTTGATCGCAATTGACCGAATTAGGAAAATCGCATTACGTGAAATCAGGTTCGCGCGGAGAATCTGAGAGCTTTTTGTGCGGAGAAAATTCAAAATTAGTCTTACTTAATCCTCCCGCAATAATTACTTACTGTTTGATTAATATTAATGCGATGAATCATTTTTTATTATACTTGCGGGAAGAAACATGTTGCGATATGAGCTCATGAAAAAAAGAGAAGAAAAAAAAATATACATTTCGCGTGTCGGGAATATTCATGAACGAGTATCACGTAAATTTATAAATGCAAATTATGACAAATTACGACGATCGCGTGAACTAATAAAAAAAAAAAAAAAAAAAAAAGAAAAAAGCGACATGACAGAATCCGCATTTTCGCTCGCGAGGATTTTACAAATTTTATTCCGTGCAGAGATCTTCATTCGCGCGCAATTAAAGTCCGCGGAAAGTGTAGCTTGCAACGTACATAAATTTAACTCGGAAGCACAAGAACGCTATACCCTAAGAGTAGTATATCTAAGGAATATCCTATACGTTCCTGATACGTTAGAAAGTACCCGCGTATGCCGGATATACCGTGTGTGTGTGGCATATGGCCTGTAAAAAGTGGTCATAAAAAATGTGCACGTATAACGTTTCTCTTAACTGCGACGCGATCGTAAAGGCAGCTTCGTTTGAATCCCTACGCAGTGGCATTCCTAGGGTTTATCACGACCTGGCCGATTTACGGAATGCAATGAAAATTTATCACGCGTTCCTCGTATTTTAGAAACGATCGAACTATCGTGTGCGCTACTGCCTTTTGACCACATTTGAAAAATCCGCACAACTCTATATTGCGAAAAATCCGAATAATTCATTTTCGTATAAAAATAAAAAAAAAATTGATTCTCTCTCCGCGCTCCATGTAAATTTATATCGCTGCACTTCGCTCATGTGCCAAATCTTCTCGTTTTTCGATTTATAAATTGTTATTGTTCGAAATGTAACGTGAATAAAAAAATTAGACTCGATAAAATTCTTTCCTAATCAATTAATGTAAGTAGATATTTAGCACGGATAGATAAATTCAAGCAACAGCTTCGCAGCCCTTTCAGCGAATGCTAAATTCGCGTGCATACCATTTCCGTAAAAGACAAGTCTTCTCTGTCATCGAAAAATAATTTCGTCCCCCCTCTCGCCGTCACAAATACGCAGTCAACGAGTGTTTGCAGATCATAGATCATACAACCGCATTAGCAATGAATTTGGGATTCAAATGCACTTCACTTCCGAACTGCTGCAGTACTCAAGTTCGAGGCTAATCAAAACCCACTTATATCCGCGAACTCCGTTAAATGAATGCCTCTCCGCTGGCTCGTTCCTGTTCTGGAGCTTCGTCTCCCTCTCTCTCTCTCCCCACTGTTCCTATCCTCCTAAGATGATATTAAAGCAGAGTCAACATTCACGACCATCAAACTAAGCTAATGATGATTTAAATTTATATCTCTGTTATGTGTATGGAAAATGTATTTTGTCAGACTGCGCGAATCTAAAGCATATTTTTCTATTTGAATGCAGTTTCGAAGAGCATATAGTAGGTATATATTATAGGCATATAGTCGATATATATTCGTAGTTTTTTACGAGTCCATTTTTTACGAGTCCATTTATATTAGAATAATACGAGAAAAGGCATTTAAAGAATATTAAAAAATATAACAGAGATAACTTGATTAATATTATCTTCCGCAGAAGACTTATATCAATCTTTTTTACTCAGATTACGAAAAAAAAAAAAAAAAAAAAAAAAAAAAAATGTACGTTTCCACAAAAAAGGGGATCAAAATATTTGTTAAATATTTATTAATTCGCGTTTTTTCCCAATAAATTTAAAATTTATTGTTTTGCATTACTTTCTTAAATTATAGATTTTTCTTGTGCTTTATACAAATTTGGAGAAAATTAAAATATAAATAAAAGACAAATGTGAAAAATGAATAAGAGATTTAATCTATATATTCATATAATAATAAATAAGATGATATTAATATGATCTCGTTTATAAACTTTAGATTAATTTAAATTACATAGATCTTTCGAATTTTATCCCAGACTGCATTACCAAACGCCGTGATATAATAAATAGATGTGAATAAATCTTTGGTGCATGACTCGAACTCTTCGCGCAATAATGTTCCCCGTTCCGTTACGCGCGTCACTTGTGCGTGCAGCTTTATTGTCTTCGAACTAAGCCGCTTTCGGTGTGACCTTATCCATTAATTTACGAAAGATTAATTGAAAATGGTGTTCCTGCAATTTCCTCGTGTTACCCGGTAATATTGCCTCACGGAATCTGCCTCATTCGGGAAACTTGAGATTATTTAACCGTAGCAACTTGTTACATCAATCTATAGTGATCATAGTAGAAGTTGTACAAGTAAATAAAATGTTAACAATATTATACTGAACTGTGCTTAAAGTGATATTATAATTAAACTGTCGAACTTTTAAAATTATAGATCATATAATGAAAGATACACATATATTTCATATAAATATATTTTTTATATTTAAAAGACTACGAAAATTAAAAAAATTTTTAAAGTTTTCTTTCCAATTAAACAACAGACGGTTTAGATAGAGTGAAATTTTCCGTATTCTGTAGAGAATGCATTGCCGAATTTAAATATCCGTGAATTAAATATATCAATGATCAGATGTTATAATCGCAAGTGATTTGACTGCAAATTTAACTCTTCTGTTCACGACACCACCGTCTAAAGATGTCAGCGTCACGTCTCACAACGCGCTTCAAGGATGTTTATGTACATCACTGCATCTCTCGACAAACTCGGGAAGATCAGGCTCGGCCGCAGAGCAATTTCGGATGAATGCCCCTCGACAGGGTGTACATGCGCGAGCGAGCAGTCGCCTTAGCGGTGCCTTGGAAACAAGTTCACCCCGACTTCGCTCT